TGGCGGATAAGTCCTCGACTCATTTAAAATGGCACTTCAAAGATGAAGTAAAATATTTCATGTCGATACAAAGTTTTTGAAATTGAAAAACAATCTGCACTGCTCAAATGTTTCATTTCGACGCCCTCCAAAATCCATGGAATAAATGCCACAATGAAACGTGTACATAGACACTTATGATATCGAACTTATTTTTCAAATCTGCAGCATCTATCCAACAAGGGTGTAGCTGTGGGATGTGAGTGTATACTATCTTCAGTACACCCTCTCCTACACCCACACTCTCTATGGGTACTCGTATACAATATCTCTTGAGACTTATGGGTACCCTTATAATATAGCTGTTAAGCATTTATGAGAGCTCCGATGGTACAGCTCTTAAGGAACTTGAGTACTTAAATCACAGATGATTCTATAAATCACACATTTGTTAAACTGCTTTTCATCAATAATTAATATTTTAGCAGAAGTTCATTTCAAAGCAATAAGTATAAAAATATTTATAGGAAGATATTCTAAATTTATCATTTCAAAATCAGTTTTTTCATTAATACCTCAAAACCACATGAAAATCGTATCAAAACCAATACTTCCATACAATTATACTGAAACCAATATCTCAAAAACAAGACTTTTTGTCAATGCCTAGCGTGGACAATGTTGCATATCAAATAATCATGCCTTATGGACAACCATAATTGAAAAATATCGCGTTATGATCATTTGATTTCTTTTTCATTAAAACTATTGATGAAAGAAATGTGTTCGTCGAGCATTTCATTTTAATTAATATTCATACTATTTCTATTACACTATTCTTCTTTCAATAGAGAGCTTAGCAGTATTTGCGTTGTGTTACTTGTACTTTGTTTGCTTTTTCTGTCTATGGCTTTTTTCTCAGACATTGAACACGACTGTTTGTTCTTCTTTTCTTTGAACAGTATATTAAAGCTTATTCAAAGTCAAGAATTCATTTCATAAACAAATTCATTTTAGATTTAAAAATAACCATGAATGAACTTAAACAAAAATTAAATTATGATGATTTCTCAGAAGAAATAATAAAGAAATCATGCAGTAAGTTATTCGCTTGATGAATATAAAGATATTTGTATTTTTTTTATTGATACACATGAATTCAATCGATTCATGACTTGTTTTGAAGATCTATCAAATGAATTATTATATGAAATATTTCATTATCTTAATAGATATAAGTTATATGAAGTATTTTCAACTCTTAATTCTCGATTTGAACAGCTTCTTCATTGTTTATCTGTATTATTTAAAACTCATTTTCGTTTATTTACAAATGATGAAATTATGAAAATGTTTAAAAAAATCTATCCTTCTCAATCGACATCACATATTTTCTATACATATGCATTTTATATTACAAGATAGTTATTGGTTTTTTTTTCTCGTTTTTATTTGATTCATCGTTTGATCGCTTTCAATCTATTTTTTAAAGGGACTCAATCTGATATACAGGGTGTCGCAAAAGTCACCTACCAAAAGCTTTTTTGTGTATCTTTGCTATTTCATTTAACTTTAACGTCAATTTTTTTTAAATTAAAGGTGAATATACTGAGTTTTTAATTTATCCGAACCATCTTCCATACTAAGCTGCGAAACTATCACTTTTGATGGAAATACAAAAATTTTCCTTTCTTTGTGAAGTGCAAGTAATTGGAAGATCGACTAAGTTTTTTTCTTTGATATTTACATATGGCTAGATAGAGCGCGTCGAATTCTACAAGAATATGTTTATTGAAAAATTTTATACCTTTTCTTTGAGGTCGAAATAATTAGAAAAGAAAACGGATGCATAATGTTTTTTCTTAGAACACAAAGAAAGCAAAATTTTGTATTTTGATCAAAAGTGATAGTTTCGCAGCTTAGTATGGAAGGTCGTTCGGATAAATAAAAACTCGATATATTCATCTTTAATTTAAAAAAAGAAAAATTTGGCGTTAAAGTTAAATGAAATAATAGATATATACGAAAAAACTTTTAGTAGGTGACTTTTGCGACACCCTGTAGAATGTTTATTAAAGAATAAAACATTTTCATTGTTTATTTGACACTATCAATGTCTTCGTTTGTTTTTTTTAATGTTATCAAGTAATAAAACAAGTTCATTATTTATAAGATAAAAAAAAATACTGATTAATTCAAACCATTATTTTACTTCTTAAATAAATTGTAAAAAGAAAAAGAAAAAAAAATACATGTCTTTGATTTATCTCCATGTTAAATAAACATTATCTAATACATGTTTAATTAAAAAATCAGTCGATAGATTTTCATATTTAATTGTTTCTTTAATATCTTCAAGTATTTTATCATCTGCAGATGGAAGATGAATACATAATGAATCAAAATGACGGCTGTTATTATGTTTAGTTTTCATGAAAATAGTACGAAAAAAAAATTGAATATCAATTGAATGTGTAACACCAACTTTAAAATATTTCATATATGGACAAAGTTTGAAAACGAAACGAAGGTGTCCAACATCATCAATTTGTTCAAGATAGACCATAGTAATATTACTTGTATTTTTCATTAAAAATAACATATCAATTTCTTCAAGAGTTATTTGTGCTGTATTGTCTGTTGATAATGAATGAATTTTTAATGTAGTAATTTCTGATAATCGATTAACAATTTGAATTAATATAGGAATTGACATTTCTTTTTCGAAAATTTCCAAATGATAAATATTTGTTATTGTTAAAATTCGTTCAATTTCTTCGAGTATAGAATCATAAATAAATTTTAATGTCAAATTAGTAGAATAATTAATTGTATTATTACTTCTATCATCATACCATTTTTCACTAAAAATAAAAAGAAATCATTAATTTTATTTATAGATTATATTCATTGATATACTTGTATGGACGAATTTTATATTCAATATTTAGAAACTTAATTTCAACATAAAATATCCATTTTCTTTGAATCCAAAATGATGATGAAAATTCAATTATTTTGCCACAATAAATTGAATATGAATTGTCATTATTTATAGATTCATAATAATTCAAATAGAATTTTTCTAATTGAGGATAATAATTTAAAATAATTATTTCCCATCGATACGCATCAAGAATATCAATATTTTTTGAAAAACTAATAGATAAAATTTTCAAATTTGAATATATTTTAGTTGAAAATTTTTCCAATTGATTTAATGTGTTGATAATTCTTTCTTTATAATGAAATAAAAAAAAATGAGTTTTAATTAAAAATGATGAAGAATAAAGAAGTTTATCAAATTGAGAATTAAGATTTGAAAATTTTTCAACTATTTCATAACTATTGAAATAATCAAAAATTTCATAAAAAATTTCATTTGAGAAATCTTCAATACAAGTTATTGATTGACCTATTACAATTAAAATATAAATAAACTTATTTTTACTAGATAAATACCTTACTCTCAAATATCTTACTTTTTTCTTCTAATGATTCATTTAAAACTATTTTTTGTTCAAATTTATTCATATCTATTCTATTCATATCATAGAAAAATTGTTTTTTTACGACTATTTCAATAATTTCAGTTGACTTTTATATGATAACGAAACAAAAGAACAAAAGAGACGAAAAAAAATCAGTTAATCATCATAGACCAATTATTATGTCAATTTGAAATAATGTGATCAATCTAATGATTGACAATTTAATGAATATTTTCAAAATCTATAACTGATAGATTTTTATGAAATAGATTTTTGTTAATATATGATTATAATAGAATAAGAAAATGTATTTGAATATTTTCAATAGTTTTAGTAGAAGACGGATCAATAATGTTAATTATAATCATTTCCATTTTAAATGTAACTTATTACATTAACTTTCAATTATATATTCAGGTAGAGAAATTGTCGTTACACATAATTATTTTGTCTTATTTTTCAAAAATTTCAAATACAAAATTATAAACAACAGAATTTATGATGTATATGATTTAGGATATAAATTAAAATCTCTTTTACAAATATTTCACTATCAATATTATTAAGAACATTGAAAACCGCTTTACGTTGCTGTATAGAAATACTAATGCACTGTCTATATATGATTAGTCGTCCATTTTTCATGGTTTATTCGACTCCTGTCCTTTATTTTGTAAGGTAGTTCAACGTATGTTTTGTGAAAGAAAATAACTTGAATATTAGTTAGAAGAATTTTAATTGTCAATGAAAGTCTATTTTTAATGAGTTTTTTCTTGAGAACAAAACTTAGACCGCCTAGTAAGAAATATTTTATGAAATCGACTATTGATCGACTCTGGTTACACCTCTTATATTGACTATCTTAAGACATGAGTTGTGGATTGAAGCAGTCTGAGTCCATGTTCGTAATTAAATGACCTGTTGGACTCTAGTTACATATACAAATGATTCACTTAATTTAAAAGTTATTTTATTCTTTCTCTGGAAAGATTATCATTAAAGAAAAAATTCTTCTTACAGTTTGTATTTCATTTAAATTATGCAAAAACAGAAAGAAAACAATCCATTTTTATTTAATAACCTGTTCATGCAATTAGAACAAATGCTATCTGTAAATAATTAATCTTCTTGTACTAACTCAAGAGCTTCCATTAATCTTAGCAAGAGCCATAGCGCAGACTTCATGAAATACATATTTAATTTATTGTATGACGTCTCTGTGTAAATAGTGGATCAAATATCACAGTGTCATACGAATAAAGACTTGGTAAAAACTGACACTTTTCAAACGAATTTTTATACATCATTCAATGAATGAATGACTACGATAAAAGGTAATCATTACGTAAACAACAGTTAGCTCTCTTGAATCATGTTTAACGAAGAAAATCTCAGCTTACAACAAGACTGCATCTATTTGAAAAAAAAACCAGTTAAATACTTTTGAAAGAATGAAAAATGATATGATATGTTTGTATCATCAATATAACTAAAACAGATCATTGAATTGATATGGAAGACTATGGACTGTAATCTGGTGGAAATCAGATAATTGTAGCTCATCTAGTTTTTGAGATACACAGAAAATAAAATAAAATAAATGCTAAGACGAAGAGAGAAACTAATGAATTATAAGAAAAATAACATAGATAGTTAAAAATAAATATGTAGATATATTGAGCAATAAATTTCGTTTAATAAACAGTTATCAGATGGATTAATGAGTAAAAAGGTTCCTGAAATGATCACCAAATGAACATTTATTTCATATAATTACTAATATACAATTTTTGATAGGCAATATTTGTTGTTTGAGCTTTATTGAATATCAAAAGAAAACTTGCTTCGCTTTTTCAAGTGCCTAATGGGGCGTTGCTGAGTTATTTGTGCGACTCAAAACATGTTTATTGTATGTTTGTTATTGTTTACCGAGCTAAAATAATAATGTTTTTCAATGATCGTTTACAATAAAAAAAAAAATCGACATTGAATCTATCAACTTGTATATAGATTTCATATTCTAATCATGAGAATAAATCAGCTAGAAGGCGTGTTTTGACACATACTAGTTAAAAATATCCGAAGAGATAATATGATTGTACAGCTAATCATAAAAAAATAATTATTTTGCATTTCAAAATTGTTTTCATTTAAGTAAGTCGTTGTTATTTGTGTCAAGGACAACATCAAAATAACGACACATCATTTGATTGATGTTAAAATGTTTTCGTAATGATTATAAAATTATTACCAGTAATCTGGTGTATAAATATCCAAATTTATTCATGCAAATCGATACCTATGCTATTATGAATGTATGTTTACCTATAATATACGTGGGCAATACGTTGTCATTTTCTACTTACATATAAACACATATACATCGAACAAATGTTTCTTCATTTGAAACCAAACACAAGATCAAGGTTTCTACATCCGAAACACACAAATGGGCAACAGCGCAGCTCGTCGACAACCTTATCCAGTCTATGAGCCTTATCCTCCTGTTTACTATTCTGATCCATATTATGGTTATGGTGGCCATCGACGTCACTGTCATGGACATTCACGATATCATTCTGGATACCACTCTGGTAGATATCCTAGATATTCAATGGGACCAGCTTACTATTGATGACGATTCATTAACAGGATGAGACCATCCAACTGTGCTCATGAACATTTTACATTATATCTATTTACTGCAGCTTAATTTTTTGAGGCAAATCGCATCATTTTATTTTCTTCTTTTTCTTTCAATAAATACTTTTAATTTCAATTTCTTCTTTACATAAATAGTACTTCTATAATACAATTCGAATCAATCATATGTCACGTTGAGGAGAAAAGTACTTGAGAAGTGAACTTCAATCTTCACTTATTTATACATCATTCGATAGAGTTTATGACAATAAGAGAAATCTTAGAAAACTTCAAGCCAAAGGCATACTCGCAAAAAGTGATGAGTGTTTTATTGGAAATTTTCTATAGAATCAAACATCATCAAAATAGTAGAATGAAGAGTTTTGACTTGAACTTTTGCCTTTAGATACATTTAATAGTCACTAGATATTTCCCAAAGTTTCAAAGAGAACGAAAAGATCTTTTTCAAGACATTGAATTTAAAAAGAAAACACTCATTTTCATTAGCAAAACACAACAATCAATTCTACTTGAATATTATTTATTTCCCCGACGACATGTTTGTTTTTGTTGCAACTTTCAAGACTATATAATGACTGTTTAGTCTATCTTTAAACGTAACTTCAAATAAAAACCCCTTATTATGATAAAATTTCATATGTATAAATTCATATCGAATCATGAATGCTTCTGCGATTGCAAACGTATACTCGTGATTGTTATTATTTCATTGTTATTTACATGAATACATTACATGCTGAAGAATATATTTTTAATAACAATGATTATACACTATATATTGATAAGTATTGTTTTTTTCATGGTCATATTATTGAAACAATTAGCTATTACTGCCATCTGTCAAAGGGAAAAACATGGACTGGTTCTATGTAAATACGAATCGTCATCGATACTGTTAGTTGACAAGTAATCGAATGCTGAGCTTGAGTTTGATAAAAATAAATTTTTCAAGAACTAATTATGGATAAGATTGATAATCCTTATCTTATTATGCTTGAACGACTTCATATTCTCGATCAATCTATTCATATTCTAAATTTGGTTAACAATGATCTTCGACAAATTCTTCAAAAACAGTATATTAAATTGATTTATCTTTTTTATATATATTTAAATATAAAATTTTTAGAAAACGTTTACCACAATTTATTTATGATTCATTTAAGCGATCAACAATAAATAAATCAAAAACTTCTTCTACACTTCCTCCTGCTCAACTACCAATTGGTACAAGACTATCTAACTATCATAGATTTATTTAATGTTTATTATTCTTTAGAGAGTGAAGAAATACGTTTAGCTGCTAGTGTTATTGATAAAGCAAAACGTACCATTGAAGTAAGTTAAGGTAGGCAAATATATGTTCTATTCTATACTCTTCTTTTTTTTTCATTTTTTCTGTTCAATAGAATGTGGGTGAGAAGAAGTCAAAACAATCATCAAGTGGAATGATACCAGCTTTGACATCAGTTCAATCAAATACTGTTCAAAATAATCGTTCAAAGACATCATCATCATCATCATCATCAATGCGTCCATCTTCAGCAAATTCAACTATTGCACCATCATCTGACTCGTCCTTATCTCAGCAGCAGCAACAACAACCAGTTCGTCGCTATGTACCCGCGCATATGAAAGCACCGTTTTTAACTCAACCAGAAAAAAAACGGCGATCTAGTTCATCAACTCGTACTAGTATCCAAACTAATTCAAGTAAAAAATCAGGCACAACACCTCGTCCTATCAGTCAACAACGACGGCAATCGTCATCTTCTACTACACAGTCGATTGTTGAAATTCTTCAAAAAACAGCATCAATCCCATCAATTCTTCCTGTGCAGAACGAAAAAAGTTCCATAATCAATAATCAAAACAATAATGATTTGAATGATGAAACTATAATTCCAGAACAAACATCTAATATGATAACTACAGAAGAACCTAAAAATATTTCTAATGAAATAAGTGAAATAGATGTGTTGCCTGTTTCAGAGCCAATTATACTTAATCGAACATTGATTAAACCATTACGTCGTTTATGGAAACAAAATCAAAATCTTCGTTTACGATTAGAAATTGAGTTTAATAAAAGATCAACATTATCATCATCACCTGTATTTATTGATCGGTTAAATGAAAAAGTAATACGATTGAAACAAACATGTTTTCTTTGTTAGAACTTTCATTTCTTTCAGATTCATTCACCAACAGTGACAGATGAGATACATATACCAAATATTGAAGTCTTACTCCAGTTAGCTATCAAACTTCGTACTATTGTACTTTATCTTCTTGAACATTGTATGTTAATTTTAGAAGAAAATTATTAAGTTAAATATATTTCATATATATTTTTGTAGCCACTTTTGATGATCTTGATGGAGCAATGAAACGTTTAAATACATTGAAATATCTTGTTAATCAATATCATATTTTCTTTACTTCAAACATTAATATTCTCGTTGCTGTAAAAGTTTTCTTCGCTTATTCTTTGTTATATTGTTTCTATTTTAGAAGCATGATTATCGTCCTTCAAATATCAATATAAATATCGAAGGTAATATTCTTTTCATTTGAAAAATTCTTATAATTTATTTTTGTTATTTATTTTAGAGTGGTTAAATAAATCAAAAATTAATTTTTTAAATCGTAATATTGTTCGATATAGTGATGATAGTCAATTAATTGCATTCACAGAAGTACGATTTAAACAATTTGAAAATGAATGTCGATGGATTGAATTAAATTTGCATGAACAAATGATCATGCAATTTAAACAATCATTATCAAAACAAAAACAAAATCAAAATTCTCTTCAAATCTATCGAGAATTAATGTGTCTTGTTACCGGTTTACAAACTTCTACACCAATTGTTGTTGAAAATAAATTTGAATGATGATAGGAAAGAATGCTAAAAAATATATTTTATTGTTGTTTTTTTTTCTGTTCTGAAACTTTGTTTTTTTTTGTGTATTAAACATGACTTTATTAAATCTTAAGATAAACTTTCGTTTGGGTTTCCACATTCCATTGAATGTCGACTACATGGCAAGTGTTACTTGCACTTGATGCTCGTTATAATGCTCATCGAACACCAAATAACCTGCAATTTAGTATGTAATCATTTGGTCAATAATAATAATACTCATAATATCTGTTTTCACATTTAGAAACACTTTATATTCGAAGACGAAGTCAATTATTACGTGACAATCATCCAATTGAAGTAAGTAAGATTTATTTTAGTTGTTTTTGAATTTAGCAATCATTCATGAAGAGCCATCCTGGTAGAAAATGCATATGTCGATCCTCTCATTGGTTTTTGTTTAATATTACCGATCCCATCGTGAATGTCCAGTGTAAAAAAAAAAGGTTTCACAAAGATCATGTTTGTTTTCTATTTAAAAATGCTCTTCGAAATTTCGTGAACAGTTTTGTGAAAAACAGGAATGAACGAATCTGATTTACATTTGTTTAAAGACTCTGACTTAATTCGAGCTCGAATGTTTGATGCAAGTCATTCATTGAAAAAAAGAATCTAATTTGATATTTTGCAAAAAATGAATTTCATGTAAACAAAGCTGCTAGAAAAATCATGTGTATGCTTGCTACATAAACCACAGTTAAACGTGTATTTTCTCAAAGCGATCTTTTAATGAGATTGAATCGTTCGAGTGTTAATAAATATTTTTAGTTTATAAACAATTTTACATTTACGTATTTGTTTATAAAAATTTGATGTTTTTTATTGCCTTGTAAAATTTTTGAAAAATAACGGTTGATTTTACTAGCATTACTTTGTCGATAAGGCACCATGTCATGAAAAACTTGTTATAAAAACTTAACTAAAAACGACTTGACTCAAATTGAATGCGAGTCACATCGAACAATGTCTTAATTCGCTCAACCTTGATGAAAAAAAAATTCATACTAAGCTTCTGAATATGCAGCAATGTTTGACATCCTTCCTTTCCCTTGTTCAACTTTGTCACAATCTCCCCATCTTCCAGCTTCTTCTTTACCTAGATAACCTTTATGAATGACCTCGTATATACACTCATTTGATATATACACATCTTTATGAATATTATATATAGAATGATGTAAATATTCGAAAACATTACTTGAAGCTACGATCAATTCTACTAGCATCAAGATATGGAACAAACCTAGTTGATAGCAGGTAATGAATAAGTAAAAACAAATGTTTGAGTTCATAAATGAAAAATATTAATTCAGATCAAATGGTAGTCATGCTAGTCGAATGAATTCCATATCTGAAGTAAATATAATTATTTTATTTTTGATTCGAATAGTAATTCTTGCTTTTTTTCGAAGAGTGCTGATTCATTTGTTGATTGGACAAGACGAAATACAACAATAACAACAAATAATATGTTAACTGATGATATACCAGAATCACATATAACTCCATTTTCCACATCATCTCTTTCAAATGTTTCGACAGCTAGCAGGTTAGAATAGAAAGAGATCAACACCTTAAAATGAATTATAGAAAAAATTTCCTTCTTTTCTATCATCCATAGAGCATTAGCAATGGGACGATCTTTAGAAGAAACTTATGCATTCTCTGGTGTTCATCACATATTTGATCATCATAAAGGTTCAGGTATAAGTTAAATTTCTATTATAAAAACTTCAATTTGTTCATTTGAATTATTGTTTTTTTTATGTATTTAGTTACAAGAGTTCAATTTGCACCTAATGATCGAAGTTTATTAGCAACATGTGGTCGTGATGGAATTCTTGCTATATGTCAAGTTCTTCCAACACCAGCAACAATTATTTACCGATTAAAAGGTCATACAGCTGTAATAAATGGTTCGTTTTTTGTTGTTAAAATCGATTAAAATAATTCAAAATATTTTAAATTCTAATAGATATGCAATGGTCATCAATAAATGATTTATTAGTAACAGCTAGTAGTGATTCAAGTATACGTATATGGCAAATTTCAAATGGAAAATGTATGCGTGTTATTGAAAGTACACCTGGTACTGAAAATCTCTGCTGTTGTTTTCATCCATCAAATAATAATTTTATTGCTGTTGGAAATAATCGAGGAATATTACAAATATTTAATGTATCAACTGGCAAGGCACTTAAAGTATATATATATATGTATGTTTTGAAAAGAAAAAATAAATTTATTTTATTATTAGAATTGTGTAATTAAATGTTATGGTCGTTCAATGTGTGTGGCATTTGATGAAACAGGTTCAATTTTATGGACAGGTGATGATCGTGGAAATATATTTGCTGCTTTATTTGATATGACAACAGGAAAATTACATAGTTGTAAACGGTATATTTATCAAATTAACACTTTTTTTAAAAAAATGTTCAATCTTTCTTTTTATGTATATGCTAGGGTTTTTTCAAATAGTAATGGTTCAGTGACGAGTCTTTCGTTTCGGTATCGTTCTTCACGTGATGGACGTGAAGGATTTATTTTAGCTAATGTCATACCTAATTTATTATTCGTATTCAAGTAAGTGTTATCTAGCTAAATCTTTTTTCTTGTGATACATGATGAATACTATGTTTCATTAATTTGTAATAAAAGACACATCTTAGACTTACTGCAATAACAGTGATTTAGCGTGAAATAGAAAAGCTGTTTGCGCGATCCTTGCAGAATTAAAATTTGTAACATGATATAGCTTCTATTGTTAATCAAAGAGAAATTAATTTGTTCTATCTATTTTGAGATATATTTTATGCACCATCCTGTTACTTAGTTCTCGACAAATGTAATAAGGAAATAGTGCATATATTAGAACAAGATGTTATTGATATATTTCTATGATTGTGTCTGTCACTTTTGTGAATAGGAGATCTAAATTTCTACTTCCATACTTCATCACTTACTTAGATCGTGTTTCATAAAATGACGTCAATATGTTTTATATTGCAAAGTTTACATTATTTTCTTCTTATGTGGGAGAGTTATTTTTGAATTATGTACTTTAATTTGATTTAGTTATCTTCATAACCGAGCTTTATTTCTGCTTCAAAAATATAAAATGAAATGGGATTCAATATTAGAAATGTATTGAATCGATTATTAATAGATTTTGTACACTCCGAAATCAGTTTTGTTGATCGTCTTCTAAAACATTGATATATTATCTAAAATGGGAAATTTAATTTAAACTAATCTTTCATCTAATTATGTCTTTTTTTTAATGATGTTTATTTTCTACTATTTATAGAGTTGTTAGTGCAAATGGAAAATTAGTCGTTAGAAAACGTTTTTCAATACGTCAAAAATCATTAACAATTCATAGTTCATTTTGTCCCATTATTTCTCAACGCCAAGGTTTTTGTGTTGTTAGTGCAAGTGAAGATATGTGTGGTAAGAGAAGACATTTCTCAAAAAATACATTATTATTTAAGAAAAAAAAATCTTTTTGTGTTTTTTCAGTTTATCTTTATGATGTTGATCGAGAAGTTCGTACACTAATCAATAAATTACAAGGACATTGTTCAGCTGTATTTGATGTTTCATTTAATGCTGATGAAAGTTTATTAGCATCGTGTGATCAACAGGGACTTGTTATTATTTGGCAACGAGATAATCGATAGCAGTTTTTAAAAAAACTGAAAACATTTCTCTTGTATTGTGTTTGCAGATATAAATATTAAATAATAATAAAAAAACAAAACAAAAGAAATTTTTGTTTTTCAGATGAATCTATCAAAAAGATTCAAAAAAGACAAAAGTAATAATGATAATGATGATGATATTATAATAATTGAATCAAGAACAACATCATCATTTATAAATGAATTTTGTCAACATATTGATACTATAACAGGTGAACATTGTAAAGAATATTATTCAGTTGTATGTATACATTGTAATCTGTATTTATGTTATATACATGTTGAAATACATCGAATAATATTAATAAATGAACGTGATCAATTAATAAATGAATTAAATGAACGTATTGATGAATTAAATAAATTAATAGAAAATCCAGATAAACTAAAACAAATATTAATTGAACAAATAGAAATAAAATATCAAAAGAAAGTTTCTTTTATTCAACAATTAAGTATGGAAAAATTAATTGATTTAAATAAAATAATTAATGAATTAAAACAATTATTTCTTCCAATACGAATTATTTTCACACAACATGAATGTGTTAGTTTAATTCAAATTAAAAAAATTCAAGAATGTTTTTTAAAATTTGATGAAAATAAAAAGGTAAAATAAAAGAAAATTTATTATTTGTAAAATTTTCATTAAAGCTGCTAATCAGAAAGTTTTTAGATAAGATGTTTGTTCACTTTTAATCCAGTAAAAAAGTATTTTTGATGAGTTAGAACCAGAATTTCATACTCTTTTCAACTATGCACTTCGAAACTTTGTCTCAGTTTTTGTTCAGATGTAATGAAATTATCTTGGAAAAGCCCAAAATATTACTTTGGACGAAAAATTTTTGCTACTATTGGAAACTAAATATTGAAATCTTTATTTATGTGTCAGCTCGTAGGTGAGATGTTACCCTATAGAATGCAATATTGTTCGTGTCTTTCGTGAAGGTGTATCAATTTTAATTTTCTTGGATAAAAACTACAACTTAGTTCAATAGTATCTGTTGTAAAGAATTGTTCGCTCTACAAACGACTAACTCCAACAATTTTTAGCGAGTTTGGTAAAGGACTTCTTGGGTAAACCAAAACATATTGGCTCATCATTAAAAATAATTTTTCAGATATTTCAAAAAGCCTATCACTACTCTTCAACAAAAATAGATCCAAAATTTCCAAGTGCATACATACAAAAGTCTGGTGTTAACTCATCGGAAATACTTTCTAGTAGGTCAAAAGTGAATCAATATCTTGTGTAAAAACTCTTCGATTACTTTTTAATTTATTTTATGCTAATAGTTATTAATTAATAATATCATTGATTCAATTCCTATGGAACAAAATCAATCGTTTAATCTTTTCTATTTATCAAATCTTGATTCACCTTGTCGACAATATGAATTACCTATACAACGATCATCCTATAATGAAATGGCAGCAAGTGAAGATTTACTTGTTATAAATGATCGTGAAAATATTCTTTTATTTAATTTAACAAATAGTTTTGATGATACTTTAATACCGGAAATAATTGAATGGAAAAATAATCTTGATGGAAAAATTCTTGATATACATTATAGTTTTTATTTAAAACTTTTTTTAATTCTAACTGATGAAAAATTATTTTCATTTAATCGTTTATCATCATTTAATAGTCTTTATCGTTTTGCATCTCTTCCATGGTCATGCACAACATTATTTAATTCAATTTATATTTTGTATAAATATTCTACAATTATTGAACAATGGACATATCAGCAAACATCATCATCTATAGAATTGATAAAACAATGGAAATTAAATGAACTTATACCAGAATCTGAACATGATCAACATTTAAGATGTATAAGAACAAATCCTAGTCAAAATCAATTAGCTATTTTAATTGTAAGTTATTCAAGCAAAAAAAAAAGAATGAAATTTTGAATATAAAAAATTAAAGAATCAATTATTTATTTACAAAATTCTAAAATTCTTATATCTTTTCGAGAAAAAAAAGCGATTCTAATTCAGAATTAAATACAATGTCTCCTAGTCCCAGAATGAAAAGCTATGGTCTAGTATTACAAAAAGCATTGCATCGTTGTCTTTGATATTCAAATAAGCGTTTTTAACAACTAACAAGCAAACATATTCAAGTATCGGATATCTTTCTACTTCACATTATGGTGACGAGTAGTCAGCGGTGAGATTAAGAAAAGTTTGAAAGAATTCGATTCCATGGCCTGCTACTGATTAGTTGTGACCGTTTCAATGAAATTTGTGTTGGAAACAATATATTTTTCGAAATACCCTAAAAAAAGACTTTCGACTTGAAATTATATTCATACGTACATTTGATTATCATTTAGATACTACAAAAATTTTCATCGAAAACGAATATGTCTTCCTCAAGATATTCAATATCTAAAAGCTCAGCAATTTTCCATAGAATCGAACCTATATGGAAATTTAATGTCTCGAGAAAGGCATGTTCATTTTCGTTGAAATTTCTAGGACTATCTAATGATTATCAAACATATCGATAGATATTATTTCAGTTCTAAGCTCTATATTTTTGGACTTTTCGAACATGACTTGTCCTTAATAAAAATTTCATTAGAACGGCCATCAGTCTTTCATGATCGACCATGCACGCGTACTCTTTTAAACTATCTTTAGTCCTACCAAGACCTAGTCGTAGCCTTGATGTAGAAACGACGAATGATATCTGACAATTGAATATGTTCGCTTGTTAGTGTTGCAAAATCAAATTTTTTTACTCAAAAAACTACACTTTTAAGTGTTAAAACCCTCTAAATTCTATCACTTTTTTGGAAAAAGATTCTTGAACATCTTGTCCTATATTCTGAACAGACTTCTTTAAATGATGAGCTGCAAATTGTTTAAGTTCAATACATATCTATAAAATGTAAGAAGTTAAAGTATTTTTGATTAAATTTGGAAAAAAATTAATTTTTAAATTTCTTTTAGGAAGATGATGAATGCCGTTGGCGAATAGCTTTATTTGATCATAATATGAATTGTTTGCATCAAACCAATATGCTAATGAATGCATCAACAATAGATTGGAATCTTATTTTTTCATTTATTTCTAATCAACAATTAATAATTATGGATGCAACTACAGAACATATTTATTTAATAACAATTGATCAAAATAATTCATCAATCGAATATAAACAATTTTCCAATTCAGACTATCCCGTCAATGCTTGTATGATAACAAACAATGGTTATAGTCAGTTAATTCTTAAAATGGTTAAACCAAACATGCTTAAATTTTTTCAAATTTAACAGAAAAAAAAAGAAATTTTCTATTTTTGTTTTTGGATATTTTTTTTGTGCAAGGGTTATTTTGTTTCAAATATTTATTTCCTTTGTCAAATCTGTAGATATTTTTAATAGTCATATATTATGAAACAAAACAAAATGATTATTATATCTTTCTACTTAAACCAAACCCATCGAAGTAGATGAGAACGGATCAACAAAAATAATAAATCTCGTTATAAATCAAGTTATTTAACTTGAAGAAAAAAAAAATTGAAATCAATTGTCAACAAGAATAGGTATTTTAATATGAACTTTATTTTGGATTATATATAATTATTGTACAAACGAAATGATTGATTTTAATCGTAAGCAATTAGACTATTTTAACAAAACAATAAAAACAAGAATCTTTTTAAAGGAATCAATTTATGAATATATATATATATGTTGGCATCCAATGTCGGATTCAGTCCAATCTCGAATTGGCCTAGGCGAATCACGGATGCTTACATTGGACTAGTCCAATATCGGATTGATGCAATTCGGTTCACTGAAATATCAATTACTCTTGAGATAGATGTTCGATTCGAATTACTTTTTGAAATTATGTTCACACAATGCCAATTTGTTTGTCACTATCGTTGTTGGAAAGATTTAAGTAAAAGTTTGGGAGTTATGAATAAATTTCTATAGAACAACAACTTTTATGAAAAGTTGTTATAAAGTTCTTCAGTCTAAATTTGGCTTCTCCCTGAATACCTGCAATACTTAAAACGGCACCGTGCGAACACACTTAAAAAAAATAATTCGAATCCAACGTCTATCTCAAGAGTAATTGATATTTTAGTGAACCGAATTGCATCAATCCAATATTGGACTAGTCCAATGTAAGCATCCGTGATTCGCCTAGGCCAATCCGAGATTGGACTGAATCCGACATTGGACGCCAACATATATATTAGATTTTAATAAAACTATGAGATGTAATGTATTTATTATCTAATTTGATCAGCATATCTAATTACATTTCTATTGAGAGAATCAAATAGAATTTAATTATGAAAGTGTTTTTTCTTTTTGTAAACAAGTATATTTGATCTCGAGAGTATTCTGTCCAAAAAAAAACGCTCAATCTTCGCTAGAAAATACCCTCAACTCTAGCAAAGATCTTTGAACCTCGAGACACTCGTATTTGAGTTTTTAGTAAATCGAAAACAGAATTGAAGAGTTCAATCATTGAAACAGTAAAATTTATCGATTGAATTCAAATCAACAGATAGAATTAATATTAAGAATAAGTGGTGATTCATTCATATATAAAGCCTGAATAGACCAAAAATAACAGGATAATTCATATCTTGAACTGAGATATGAGATAAGTAGATAAGAAAATAAATAATATTAAATTAAATAAACAATAATTAAAAATCTTTAGTGAAGACGATTCTGTCAATTACTGAAGAAAATGATAAATTTTTGATGAGTTTGAATTTTTACATCAATAATATGATGAGAAAACTCAAATTCTTCTATAAACTGATAGTGTCATCATGGAAAAAAATGATTTCCATTGATCTATCAGATTTTGAATTATATAAGTCTATGAAAGTGTGATGTTATAAAACTAATGTACATTGAAATATATGCTTCTAGTGTTCATTTGATCAGTAACTAGCGCCATCATTAAGGAATTGATTCCTGGAAAATGGCCGTTTAGAACACACGATTCGTTACTAGTTACCTGTCTAACTGATGCGTTGAAAAAACAATGTATCACCTTTTCATTTTTCAGCTTCCTTATTAGAAATTATAACTACAACGAAGGAAAATAATATTTTTAATAATAATTGATTACACTATTTCATCAATTGAATATAAACATTTTTCAAATACTGATTATTCAAAATAACATTGTACGATAACATATGATTATTATAGACAATAAATCTTTACAATAGTTACATTAAATAGGCTGAATTTTATTTTTTCAATATACAACAAATTTTCTATTTTTTATTTCATATTTGTTAAATGATTGTTTTTCTTTTTCTAAAGTTTAATTGTTTTGTACAATTTTAGAGATTTATTTTTAATAATCATGTATTATGAAACACAACACGGTGATGAAGAATTAAAATTATTATTTTGTTCTGATCAAACTAAACTTGATGAAGAAAATGAACTATTAGATGATGATATAGAATTAAAAGTTAAAAAAACTCGAAAACGTCGTCGAAACGAAGCAACCATACTTGAACAAGGAAATGAAATTGATCAATTAAGTAATATTCGTCCAAAACGAGCAGCAGGTACTACTACACACAAAAATAAATTTGTTTTTTTTTCAATTTTAAAAATCAACTTTAAAATTTATACATATAGCAATTCGTGTAAATAAAATGAATAATAATCAACGAAAGATTAATGAATTTATTGCCAAAAAAGGACAATCACCTAAAAAGAATATTAGATCGATTAAAACTGATTCAATTCTTCCATCATTACCAATAAATGATAGTGAACATTGTCCAATATGTGATCGACTTATACCAAATGATATACTTGAAATTCATACAAATGCTTGTTTAATACATCATAGTGATGCAAGTAAAGAATTAATTGAAAAAAGTAAACAACGTGCTAAAACTGAAGCTAAAATCAAAGAAATTTTATTTCAACGAACAACACATAAAAGTACAGCTACTCATCTAACAAGAACTAATAGTGAAACGACAACTTGTCCAACATGTGGTATGCAAATGACAGTCTTTCGTCTCGAAAATCAACATAAGAATGAGTGTTCAAATCGTTTTACTTGATTTTTATTTTGTGATATTTTTTTTCCATTTTATTTTTTATGTTGGATCTGTTATATGAACATGATTTTTCTAGATTATTTCTGAAAACAATATTCATAATTGTTTGTTTTTCTTATTATTAATCGATAAACTGTTTTTTTTTTCTTGTATTCATAACATATTCTATTGTTTGTTTTATATCATTGATAAGAACTGAGAAATATATAATTATTTTGATTAAAACATAAGAAAACTTCACATGTTCAACGATGTGTAAATAATGTTCATTAAAAATGATCCAGGTGGACTAGAACGACTCGTAGTAGGTCGTAAATCCCTGGAAAACAGTGATAAAAGGTATTTGTCACGATGATCATTTACATTTCAATGGAAACAATCATTGTTTCTAATTACTGGTTTCACCTCATTTTCATATAAAATCAAAAAAAAAAATTTCATAAACAACATGAGATATTTCTTCATGATGTTTAGTAGAGAAATCTTAATGATCTTATCTACCATTTCTAGTTGGATCAATATCTGATGTTTCACGGAAGTGTTTTGCTGAGATGACATGATGCTTTACTCCTTTTATTTCTTTGTTAACATCAGGATCAGATTAAATGTTTTGAACCCGATGTAAATATCAATAAATAGATTTTGTTGAGATTTATTCGATAATATGATATGTCCTGTACATGAAACATTTCTACATGAGATTGACCAAAAATTCTATCAATATTTAATAACTAAAAAAAAAACAAAAAAAGATTGTCGAATTAATGTCGAATGGCGTCTCTGGTCAATTTGTTTAGGTTCTATCAAGCTGAGATGTTTTTATCGATTGTTGTCAATCGAAAATGTTACGTTTTCATCGATCAGCTAGCTGATCAAAGTTAAGACCTTATTGAAAAGTAGTCATGATGAAATTCATCTCTACAAAAACTCTATAAACGTGTATCGACATATTTCTAAAGAACATAAAAAAATTAAGAATTTTCAGAGTGATAGACCTGCCAGAATCTGATTCGTTCTACGATTCATGCCACAGACGAAATAATCGACATGAATTATCGAATCATGAGACCATGACGCATTGGAATTATAAAGTAATTCAAAAAGCATCATTTACACGATCTACCAGGGTCTTCAGGGTTGATCAGGGTTTCGTGGCATCCACACAGAGAGAGAGATGTGGTGTGCGTCGTTTCGCCGCCAATTAACCCAAACCATAGTTGGCCCTTGAGATCCTGGTAGACCCTGCTTTAACAGTTTTGAATTATTTTGTAATTAATGCTTTTTGAATTACTTTGTAATTCATTTGCGTCATCCAGTGATAATCATCTTTACTGAAGGAATTCATTATCGTAGTTACGGCGCTATGCAACGATTCAGAGTTATTTTCATCGATCAGATTACGTTGGAGCAAGTTGAATAGCCCAAAATCAGACGGTGCCAACTACGGAAAAATTAGGTATTTTTATATGATGGATTGAAATAAGACCAATAGTCTTAAAAAATATGCAAAACAATAGTTTTAGAATAAAGCGACTTCGTCAAACGCAAGAAGGAAAAAAACGAAAACTTTGTACTTCATCGTACTTCAATGATGTAAGTGAAGTACGATGAAATATTTGGACTCTATTATCGAAAACATTCGTATAGAATGAACTCAAACTAATATATTCATGACACGCGTTGATAGTAGGCTTGCAAAAGCTAAGAAGATCTCTGAAATAGTTTTGACACATTCTTCGAGTGCACTGAAGTACTGGTTAAGGTACAGAATTTTGTTTCTTCTTTCTTGGTCGAACCTCAGTTGTTATACTCTCTCCTTTTATTGTTCGAACAACATTTGATTCCTTTCGGCTAATTAATTTTTAATTGATCTTTCCTTTTTTTGTCTTCGCGTAACTACTTGACTATTCTCTCTATCCAAAAATAATATTCAAATAAGAACTTGTTTGTTTTTGTTTTACAGATTCTTTAGTCAACCAGAAAGTGACATATATCGGATATCCCAAAAGTTATGATTGATCACTTAACAAATGCATATAATTTCTTTACTGATCAAGTTTTATCCAACAATTTTTTTTCATCTGAGAGAGGAGAGTAGTGAGTTTTTTTTCCTAAAGACGATGTTCATAAATGTCTTTTAAAGGCTATCACTTCTGGCTGTAATACAAAAGTTCGTATTTTTTCAATGTCAGAAAATAATATTCA